ATCAGTAACAATTAACTCCTTAGACTGGAGTCGCTTAATAAAGGTCTCAAAATAAAATTGCACATTCCAAGCACTGTATACTTAAATGTCAAGCACACAAACAGCCCTGCAGAGGCTAAGAGCCATCTGCAAAGCTCACCATGGCCAGATCCAAAGCTCTCCCGGAGATGCTGCTGGAAGTGGTCAAGGCAGGCACCCCCTAACCCCACCAAACTCAGGGAAAGATCCTGAGGGCCAAAGATAGCCTGCTCAGGGACTCTCATAGAGGGTACTCTGCACCCACAGCAGGCCACGCTGGCATCTTTGGGAGGTGGGCAGCAGCAGGGATGTCACCTTGCTCCATCACACTGGCCAGGCAAGAAGGATCCCTGCATCTGGCCCAGAGGCCACACGGGTGATTGGTATCGACCATCGCCACACGCCTTGGAGGGACAGTTGGCGTGAATAAGCAGTTAGTGTCAGGCAATCAATACCTATCTTCTCACTAACTCAGAGAGACACCATGAGCACGGCATGGGTTGGGGCATGGCTGATTTGGGACAGAAAGTGATCGGCTTTTAATCTGCTCAACAGAGGAAAGAAAAATGGAAATTTCCTACCTTAAGAGCTCAAAGTGTGAATTTCAAAGAGAGAAACCTCCCAAGAAAGTAGTCAAGTGCTGGTGGCCTGTGCCAATACCCACAGCAGTGACAGAAGAGCACAGAGCACACATGTTGCCAACATTAAACTCCTAGTTTTAATTTTCTTCTCTGAACACTGACCTCGACCTACACAGTCAGGCCTACTGATTTTTCACCTCCCACACCCAGCCCAATTTGCACTTTCAGTAGAGTCCTCCTGAGTCACAGGGAGCTAACACTCCACAATGGGACGAGCTCTGAGGTAGAAGAGTTTGCCCGACTGAGGCTACCAGTGTTCTGAGCATCCTTCAGGTTGGACTACATGCAAAGAGCGGCAGCTTCAGTGTGCTGTGTGCACTTTCCACTCATGATACTTTCAACTTGGGGTAGCTTGACTGGGATGTAAACCCTTGTAGTTCCAGAAGCATATGTAGCCACATAAAACCTACCAGGGACAAGAATCATTGCTACTGGAAACTTGTGAACTTGCTCTTCAATGTCCTGGAAGCCTTCATCCCAGAATAAAACTAAAAACTCATCACCTGAGGTGACCAGTGCGGATGCTGCTATAGGTTCACACTGAGGAAACACATGAGGGAAGCCAGACTTCCCACTGCCAGCCTGGGATTCCAGAGAAGTGAGGGGCTGCAGTAGCCCATTGAGAGCTGAACCCAAGCAAGGACTCCTGTGGACTCGTGTAGTGTGGTGCAGACATCCCACAGAGGCACAGATGCTCATACATATGAGCTGGCGTGCACACACATCTCCCTCCTCTTTTGGGCTGACAGGGCCTGGACCAACAGCACCAGACCCATCACTTTGTATAAAAGGAAGCGAAGAAACAGCTGACTGTAGGACTGGGACAGGAAAGACACAGGTGCGCCTGGAGCATCTTACAGGGCCACTCTAAGACAGTGCTCAGAACAAATGCACCTCACACACACATGAAACCATAATGACAGAGACACATGAAAAAGATCCCAGATGGCACTGAAAGAGCCCCAAAGTTACTAGCTAATAAAGCAGTGCTGGGTTAAAGCCTAAAACCTAACATAAATGCTCCAACAGCCCCTCTGATATAGATAATTGGGGGAAGAAACAAGCCACCCATGCTAAAGATCCCACATAATTTATGTAGACTGCCTCCAGGGAGAACCACTATCTCCCACCCGTTAGGTGTGGGTAGCTTCAGAAGATCACATTTTTTGTCAAATGTGGTAGTGCAGGCCTACAGTTCCAGCACTCAGAAGGCTGGGGCAGGAGGATTGTCATGAGTCTGAGGCCAGCCTGAACTACATAACAAGACCCTGTCTCAAAACAAAACAAACAAAAAACTAAACAAAAACAAAAAGATTACTGTAATTTTATAATAAATCTTGGAATCAGGTAATTAAGAAGAAGTAGCAGCAGTGGAGGAAGAAGAGGGGGAGGAGAAGGAGAAGAAAAGAGGAAGAGAAGAAAGAGGAATAGCAGCAGCACACGTGGGAAACTGGGAAACAAGGACTTTGGAGTGAAAAAACCTGACCAATAAAAGCCTGCCAGGTGCTGAAGGTCAACAGCACCCATGCTAGGTCAGGCAGACAGCACGGCCCTTTTACAGGGCATGATGAGAGGGCTCCCCTCTGCAGCCCTCCTCCCCAGCCCACAACTCCAAGGAAGCATGAGAAAACATAAGGTAAACCTGAAAAGGAGAAATTTCTCACAAGTGCCAAGGTCATCAGAAACAAAGTGTGAGAGACCATCACAGCCAAGAGGAGATGGGGTACTAAATGTCACACGGTACGAAAGCTATATCCTAAAAAGAAAAAAAGCATTTCATAAAAACTAAGGGACTCTAAAGAAAGTACTAATTTTTGTTAATAATGAGTCAACACTGTTTTATTAATTTTATCAAGTGTGTCACACAAATGTAAGTGTTAATAATGGAATGTTTACAAGCTAACCCAGTCTGAGTACTCCGTTATGTCAGCTGGGTGCACCAGACCATGTTGCCTGAAGCGCCCCCTTCTCCCAAGAGAACTGCACACCCACTGCCAGCCTCAGAGCCACCCACCACTGCCTCGCAGCCTCCTAGAACTACTCCACTTCTTTCCAGCTGGCACACGGGAAGCCACATCTCTAGGACACAAGTAGGACAAAGTCTCCCGCCAGAGTGGGTATGGACCTGGCCGTGGTGCGCTCTGCATGATGGCCTGACAGCCACCTCAGACAGGAACCAATAAGCCAATGCAATGAACCACCAGAGCCACATTCCCAGGGACCAGAACCAGCCTGCTGAGCAGGGAAACAAGGCTAGAGAGTCCGACAGCTGGCTGTAAGCTCAAGGGCAAGGTTGGCCTCCAGGCCACAGGACCACAGCACAGCCTCCATATGAGAATCACATGGGTCAGCTGTCCACCCCCATTTCACATCCTTATCCCCATATGACTCTCAGGGCCCTGGCTCCTGTGTCCCAGACTGTGCATCCCCCACCACCAGTGCAGGGAGCCGTGTGGCATGTGACATGCATGCCATGGCTGCTAGGCCAGCCACTTTCTCAGCCTGCTTCCATGTGTCTGCATGCTGACACCTGTAGCTCCAAGAAAGCTTCCTTCTCTCTTGGTCACAGTTCTGCACAGAAGAGCACCAGTTCTCCACACACAGCAAATCCTTCAAGTCTTTGCTTAGACCTGATCTCAGACAACTCCCTCCATGTCACCATGGAGCCGCTTGTCTCTTCTCTGTCACGGCTGGCGAGCACGTGCAGCTGAGTACCACCACTGCCCCTTGACCTTGGACTGTGGAGCCTATAAAGACTACGTGCATAAACACATTCAGGGAACCTTGTGCTGACACTGGCAGACATATGACAGACATCTGGGGAGGAAGGGAGGATGGAGGAGGCCCAGAGTCTCACCCCGTGAGTCCAGCAAAAGGAGTCACACCCAAGGGCAAGCACTTTCTCTACCAAGGTGCAGCCTTGGGCTGAGCTACTCATGAAAACACTTTGAAAATCTCTCTTCTCTGGTGCTGAAGAAGACATCAGCTCCAGGAAGTCCAGTGTGACACCAAACAGACATACGGGTTCCTTTAAGAGATAGCAAGATGCTGCCAAGAATGTGCAGAACATGAAACAGCAGCATGCAGGAGCTGAAACACAATTCATTTCCTAAAAACTTACTCAGCAGGAGGTCCCAGTAGCAAGACAGTTCCTGGTGCACCCCAGTCATGACCAAGAGCAGGCAGACATTCATGGATGCAGCACCTGTTACTTCCCAGCTGCACCATCTTCCTGGGAGAGGGGCAGACAACACAGGCTCCTCTGCTCACTCAATATGAGGGTGGACATGGACAGCTGCCCTGCCAGCAAGCTGGGCATCCCACCCTTGCCTAGAGGGCACTTGGCGACAAACTGGTTCTTGTCTTCTGAAATTTCAGGACCCATGCAACTTTTTTCTTTAACCCCAATACTGGGGACTGAATCTAGGGCCTTTGCACTGAGTTATATTCCCAGCCCTTTGGGAGGAGGGGGGCAAAGTCTTACTAAATTGCTTGCGCTGGTTAGAACTTGTGATCCTCCTGCCTCAGCCTCCCACAGTGCTAGGATTATAGTCGTGTGCCAGCACACTTAGCTAACAGTGACTTGGCGGGGGGGGGTATTCTTGAGGCAGGATTTCACTATATGGTTCACGTTGGCCTTAAACTCACAACACTCTTCCTGCCTCAGCCTCCTGAGTACTGGTATTACAGGTGTGCACCACTACACCTGGCTTTCATGGTGACATTTTAAGTAATGTCAAAAACCATTCATGCCTGCAACCTCAGCTTAATGTGCTAACATCAGAACCCCTTTGGGCCAGAACAATTAGAAAAAACTACCCATCAGAATTGTCCCCCTGATATCTGCAAACAAGCAACCTCCCTCTTCCACATCCTAGACCAGAGCCACTCCAGCTTCCTCTGCACTTTCTGCCAGTAAACGACAGGACAGCTGTCTACCCACTAGGGCTTAACAGTTTAGTTTTGACCCTACTGCCAGAGGGCAGCCTGCAGCCTGCAGAGGGCGATGGGCTGGGGCACTGGATGTTGGACAGGTATCAAGAAAAGTGGAACCCACTGAGAACATTGGACTGCGTGGACTCTGGCATTCCAAAGACAAGAGAACACAACCTAACCAAACTGCCAAGTGCATCCTCCTGAGTAGAGCGGAGAGCTCACACTGCCCCTGGTCATGGTTCTCAGGCAGTTACACACAACTCTGCCCAAGATGTGAACATGCAGATCTCACTCAGCAGGTAATTATGCTTGGCTTTGCAGATGTTGGGAGACAGGTGAGAAGTCACAGAGAGGGCAGATGAGGACAAGGCAGGAATAGTCCTCTGCCCCTCCGGGTGCCCACACCTTGGTTAGCAGCAGGACACGCTTCTGCAGCCTCCGGGCCAGTGCCTCATGGTTCTCGCGCTTCTTCCTCTCCTCCAGGAGCTGGCCACTGACCTGTCGCACCTCTTCCTGTAGCTGCTGCTGGGCCTTCTCCAGCCCCCGGGCACTGCACAGGGAAAGCAAGATGGCAGAGCAGTGAGGCCTGGCACACTGTCCCCAGGGCCCAGGACATCCTAAAATAGAGCTGCACGTGTGCCCACCTCCCCGTCGTTTCCTCACTCCTGAATAGCTACTTAGTGCCTTTCAGGAGTTTCTGGATTTCAAATAGACACCCAGGGTGATCCCAGCACACAGTGGGAGGTGGAGGGAAGCTCAACTCCACACACAATAGGAAAAATTGTCAACCACACAGTGCTACGGGATGGGGCTTCTGAATGAGCTAAATTGCCAGCGCAAGCACTTCCCGTGTGAATCACAGTCAGCACAGATGTGCAGCGTGGGGGGCTGTGCTGCTGTGACTGGCTGGGAGAAGACGCTCTGCAAACTGAGAACACAGCCACGCACTGACCCTGAAGCTGTGGCTCGGGACAGACAACAGAGGTGCAGCTAAGTTGAGCTGAGCACCCTCTCACCTGCCCCCATTTCTGTCCATCTCCTTTTCCAGTATCCCTTTGCCCTCTGTTCTCCCAGAGCCTCTCCCTCAGAGTCTCACCTAAAATACCAGGACGGCCTCCTAACAACCCTCACAGGTCCATCCTCCAGTACCAAGTTTCTTAAAGCAACAGAGATGGCTGGATCCTTCCTGTCAGAAGTGCTGACCGCTCAGGGGCCACCACACGGCCTCTCTCAAGGCCACCACTTCTCACAGCACAGTGCCTGGCACAGGTTATGTGCTTGCTGGTCCTCCAGAGGTTGCCTAAAGTCAGTGTCCAGCACTGCTAACAGTAAGACTCCCATCAATGCCCAGATGGCTTCCCAAGCTCCACCCATGGACACACGCACACCTAGGGAGGGATGCAGAGGGAATGAGAGCAGGACCAACCCATCGTAACAGTGTACCACAGCAGTGCCAAGAAATGGTGGTGGGACACAGTGTTTGTGCTACTCACATGGCAGAAACCTCTCTTGCAAGGAAATCCTAAATAAAGCTCAAGCACTAAAGCAGACATTCAGATTCTACTGTAAGGTGACACTTATAACATTCTACTGTAAGGTGACACTTAAAACATTCACTTATAACATTCATGTGAGGTGACAATGAGAACAGTGAAGTTGCTTTGAAAATAACGGAAATTTGGGGTGGGGGCTGTGAAGGGCATCTGCAGTCTTAGATCATCCTCAGTATCCATTTATTTCTATTTGCTTTGATTACAGAATCTCTACAAAACCTTCAGGATAACAGATAATCTTTTCCTCAGAGGTAGTCAAAGTGTTTTCTAAATCAAACTCTTTAAACAGCTTAAGTATAATTTGAAAGTGAATGTGAATCAAACACTTACAGAACTTTAGAAAGAACCTAGTGTTGATCCTGTTCTAAGACTGTGGGGAGCCTGGATGACCCTGGGATCCAACATCAAGGACACCACATCTCACCACTGGAGGGTCTTGGAAAGCAAACACAGAATCAATGAACTGCCACCCACACCTCTAGGTGCTCCACAACCAAAACCATAAAACACAACAAGTACAAATATTCCTTGCAAACAGACATATTAAGAGGCTATTTTGAGTTTCAGTTCAATTTAAAACTATTCATAGACCAATTTAATAATCAAGAACTGTGAAATCGACTGTTGAATCACTGAATTCAGGTGGGTAAGTTCACAAGTGCTTTAAATCACTGCTCCAAAGTGGGTAATTTAATTAGGAGCATGGCAGCATTCACAGTGCTATTGAAAGAGTTGTGCACACAAAGGAGCAAGAACGCAGCAATGCTACCGTGTAGGGGACCGGGCTCCCCTGGGAGAGCTGCAGGAAGGGCCTCCCTGACAGCTGTCCTTAGCACAGGGGAGCCCTGGTCTCAGCAGCACAATGTGCTTATATCTGCCTAAGGCCATCCTCTGTGCGGGACTCTCCCACCAGAGCAAGCGCAAATATACACAGGCACAAACACAACCACAACCGCCATCCTTCTGAGTTTTGAGGACTTGGGTTCAGGGCAACAGAACCAAGCAGCAACACTGGGCCAGGAACTCTGGCTTTAGGTCTAAGCTGGCAATCAACCCACACCCTGTAGTTGGGCTTCAGGCACCACAGGGAATAGAGGGTGCAGGCACCAGGAGCCCTAACCTCAGCTCTTCATCCAAATCCAAGATGCTGAAAGGACACAAGTTGTGATGGTCAAGCGTAACTGTCAGCTTAGTGGATTAAGACTCTCTTGGAGTGGGGGAGGCAGTGTTCTCATCACAGGGGGATGCCCTTAGCAATGTGCCCAGGTAGAGAAGGTGGGTCAGGGGGTGTGCCTTCAGAGAGGACCTCTCTTGCTGGCACTGGTCCCCTACCACTGCAAAGTGAGCAGCTTTGTTCCTCCATGCCCTTCCACCATGCTGCTTTGCTATGGACCCAGCAACTGTGGACCCATTTCCCTGAAACCATGAGCAAAAATAACCCCTTTTCCTTTAAGTCTTGTACATCAGGCATTTGGTCCCAGCAAGGAAACCCTGACTAATACACCCTATAAGCAGAGATGCAAGCTGGGAGCTCTTTGGCACCCCAGGGAGAAGACAGAGCCCTCAAGAGTGAAGTGCTGGGTTCAGATAGATAAGTTCACTTGGCAGGTTATGAAGAAAACCTTTACTCACTCAAAAGCAAAATACTGTCCATTTCATCCAGTGAGGAGAGGAAAAAATAAAGCCAGAAGAGCACAACCCTACCAGAGACGCAGAGAGGAGGCAGGATAGCACTGACAACAGGACAGCACTAGGGGCAGGGCAGACAACTGCAGACCCCAACCCTGACTACGGAGGTGGAGATAAGCCTGAGAGCTGCTACGCTGGGCACAGCCAAGGCCATAATTGCGCGTAAGACATTAAGCAGGCATGGCCTGCTGAAGCAGTTACAGCTCCTTGGGTGGTGGGGGCAGAGCAGAGAGGAGGGGATATGAACACATAGGAACACACAGGAGAGCCCTGAGGGACCAGACAGGGTGCCTGGGCAGAGCGGGAGGACCTGCAGAGGTGGTGTGTCTGAGCACAGAGGGCAAGAAGCAGGCAAGAGACCCACATGCAGGACAAACAATAGGCAGGACCCTGCCTACCCCTCAAGTACCCACACCGCCTGATGGAGATACCAGGTCAGGTGACAGACTGCAAAGGTGGCAGTGACAGATGATGCCAATAAGCAAATACTAGAGTGCCTGCATGAGGTGCAGCGCAGGGGACAGGACATACAGAGGCACAGGGAAGGACAGGACATGTGTGGGATGTTAGAAGGGTGGGTGACAGACAGACTCTTCGTGGGAAACACAACCACACCACAAGGAAGGGGAAGCCTGCCTGCGGGTTCAAGGCCAGACAGAGGCAAGTGCAAAGTTTGAGGAGGATGAGAGGGATGAAGGCCAGATGAAAGAGGCTACACAAATGACTCAACAGCCCAGAGAGGCTTGCTGTGCTGTAAAGAGGGTTGGACAATGGGCTGATAGTGGATGGGGTAAGGGGACTTGTTCACAAAATAAGAAAAAGTAGATGGGCATGGTGGCACATGCCTGTAATACCAGCCTTGGGAGGCTGAGGCAGGAGAATCACTAAGAGATCAAGGCCAGCCTGGGCTATACAGTAAGCTCAAGGTCAGCCTAAACTACAAAGTGAGACCCTGTCTCAAAAACAAAAGACCAAGACAGGAAAAGCACAGAATTGCAGCAGCATGCCCCAGGTGCTGGTCCAGCACAGGGAGTGGAGGGCCAGCCCAGCATGAAGCCTCAGAGCAGCAAGAAGAGACGGAACTCACTGTCCAAAGGGGAGGCCACTTCCCCAAGCATCCAGCCTATGGTGTCCCCCAGCAAGCTTCTCAAATCATTGCCACCAAGTGCCATCCACACCGCAGGATGTAGACAGTGACATGCATAATAACCTCGAGTTAGAAGGGCCCTCTATGCCACAGATCCCATAAGCATCTGGGTGACTCTGTCCCAGAGGGCCCAGCCTGCTGATTCTTCCAGGAGGGAGCCTCCCTCCATTCACTCTCAGACTTTGTGCTGTGGGGAGGAAGAGAAAGCTCATAAAACATTAAACCTCTAGCTCCACGCTAAGCTGAACTCTGAGGTCAGCAGCATTTCCGTGAACCCGTGGGAGTTCAAAATGAAGCTCTTGGTGTTTCAAGAAGAAGCTGGGCATGTTTGTCGATCGATTCCTTTTGAGGCAGATCTACTGAGGGAAACAAGTCTGCGCTTCTGAGAACCTGTCTTTGTGTGTGACGGGCCACCGCGGTCCACTTTAATGTAGTCTTCATCAGAAACCTCAGCCTAAGAATATCTGCTTCCAAGGAACAAGGAAAGGATATGAGACATTCCAAAGCAGCAGGAGACATTTTAACGATCTTCTCCAAGTCACTGCTGGTTCCAGCTTCTCCCCTGCTCAACCCCAACATCTTAACAGGCTATGGCTACCTTATCCCAACTCAGCCCAGCCCCCAGCATGAACTCAGTAAGGAGTGTGCCTGTGCAAGCAGGTATAGAGGGGCTTCCAGACAATGAGTGCTACCTGGCACACAAACTCAGAGGGAGTCAAAGTGCCTCCATGGCTGGACCCAGGCCCAATTCCCAAGACACAACTCCGAGCCAAGCACCCTGCCATACACTGTGTCCCCCAAATCCATGTGCTAGTGATAGTGGGTAGAGGTGGGACTCTCCTGACAGGATGGGTGTCTTTATAAAAGGCCCTGGAGAGCTGCCTCTCGGCTCTATCACACAACGACACAATGTGAAGAACCATCTGCACTCAGGGAAACAGCCCTGGCCAGACCCCAGGTCTGCCAGAGTCAGAGCTATGGAAAGGAAAGTCTACAGTGTAAGAGCCACAGAGGGTGGCAGTTTGGTGATGGGAGCCCATCTCAAAAGAATGATTTTCTCTGTCACACCTGGACAAGAGCTACCCATGTAGGGGAAAATTCTCATGATCACCCCAAGCACTAACTGACGGCTTGAGCCAACCCATAGATATTTTTGATGGATAAGACATAAACGTAACTGCTTGTGCATGGTTTCTTAGGAATTTCTCTTTTGCATAGAACTAGGAAACATTACAATTTTATTCAAGCTTGCAAATCGCTAAAAGCACCTTTATGCTTTGAGAGCTAAGAAGCATGTATCAAAACCTACCCACACAAATAGTTTTTTACCTTCTTCAGTTTGCAGATGAGTAGTTTCAGACCCAAGCAACTGATCTCCATGAGGCCACCATGTCCCCTCCAGGGCACAATGATGCATACCCTCCATACCTTCTGGGCATAGTGCTATGCCCAGAGTAGCCCACAGCACTGACCTCTGACAGCAGACACCTGCAGTCATGCCAGGCTAAGCTACCACCAACAGGTCTCTGTACATCTGCTGTCAGCATGAAACGCTCTGGGTCCCCATTGCCACATCAGGAGGAAAGCACAAGGGGATGGACCCACCTCAGTAGTCTGCCCAAACATCTCCCCACTGCTAGGAGGCACCACAACTCCACCCAGCTCATCAGAGAATCTCCTGGAGCTGAAGATTCTCCAGAATCTGCTTGGCCAGCAAGCAGAACAATCAAGCTAGAAAAGATCATAGGCAGAGCAGGAGTGGAGTTACAGCCCTAAAAGTGGACAACATGGTGAAGGCCAGCCAGTCCCACTGATGAGACTGGCCAGGAGTGCATGCCAAGGCATCCTCCTGGGCCCAAAATAGAGTTGCACACCCTGTCAGGAAGGGCATGGACCAAGCCAAAGAACATCAGAATGAGCTGGCCATGAGCATGACGGGACAGAGCTCTATGATGGTCTGGGGCAGCAGACAAGATCCCAGGAAACTTGGGCTTTGAAAGGGATGCAGACAGGCACACAGGCAAAAGCAAATCAGAGACAGCTTGGAAATATCCACCAAGGGGAGCCAAGGAATGGGAAGAGGAGTTCCCTCCAGTCTCTGATGGTCTGGAAGAACTGCTAAAAGTGACTGAGTTCAATGGTTTTATCCAAGTGGAAATTTTGAGGCTCAGGGCCTCTTGAAGTAAAAGACCTGCTTGGAGGGGGTCACCAAGGGCTAGCTTTCCACATTGATGATGGCTAGATCCCAGAAGACTGAGATTTCCAGGGGGACCTGAACATTACTTCCCTGAAGTGCAGAGGTGAGGGTTGAGGCAGATTCTTCAGAATGTAATGAGCAAGCTGAACAAATCCCAGCCAGCCAGGCACTCACCAATTCCTAGCCAGCCTGTGCCACAGCAGAGGCCACCGCTTCATTTGCATTCATTAGGTGGTACCTACCAACTAAAAGTTGACTCCCTTTTGTCCAGATGCCCTCAAGAAAGGCTTCAATTTCTAAGATTTTGTCAACAAAAACAGAAAGGTCACAGCACCACACAGAGGAGCTGGCAAGTGCTCTTGCTGCTCTAGAGACGTCCATACTTCTATCACCTCAGTCACCTGATATGCTGCACTTGCAGCGCTGAGAGCTTGCCCACCTGCCTGAGCATCCTGAGGCCTCAGCAGGATACCCTGGGTTTAATTCACCTCTATCACTCTATCCCACAGCCCCGTCCTTGCCTTCCTGTCATGACTCACTGTATTTATGTAGCTTGTTGGTTTAAAGTCCTACCTCCCACCCCATTCTGGAAGGATGGAGAGGTGGCAACAGTTTGACTTATCACTCCACCCTCAAGGGCTGTGCAGGGCACATCCTCAGCAGATCACTGCCATCACCATGCCAAAGGACAACAACGGATGGGGAAGAACTGAGATTCCAAAGTCCAGTCCTGTGGTGATTCACAGAGTGCTGGGCTGCTCCTGGACATAGAAGGGAGAGAGTTAGAGAGCCCTGGTCAGAAAGCAGGCTGGGGAGGCTGAGTAAAACTCCAGTTCCAGCAAATGCACCAAAGCCCAGCTCTGTAGGAATCCACCAGACCTGACACAGTCCACCTGCCAGGACCTGTCAAGCCACGCATGCACACTCTCCAGTCACAGGAAGCATATATACAGCTGCACTTAGGGGGGCATGAGAGGCTGCCTGCCAAAAAACAATGTGGAAAAATTTTAGATGGAATACAGACTGCATATAAAAATGTTGTTTCAGAAGGCCAAGGTTTCCAGATGGGTAGAGGCAGCCCTGTGCCTCTACCACTCCCACAGTTACAGTGGAATGTGTGGCAGATGCAAGTGTGTCCTCAGCTCCAGTCCTCCTGAGGGAGACCAATGGCCACCCTGGAGAGAAGCAGGGAAGCTGGGCCTTGGTGCTTACCTAGGGCCAGGATCCAGAGAACTGGATCAAAGCTCCTTGGCACCTAACCAGTCCAGGGCCCTGCACACTACACTAACTTCTCAGGCCTTCCAGCTCCTGCAATGCTCACAGCACTGATGTCTACTAGCCCCCAAGGGCTAAACAGAATCTCACAAGCCATATGGGTCAGGTGCAAAATCCAGAGCACTTAGCAAACATCAGTTCCCTTGCCGTGCCCTGAATAATGGGAGGGGCAAGTCCACCATCTGCATCCAGCCCCCACCATGTTACAACAGTGCCCTGGTAACAAGCTGCTAAAGCCGTACATCACGACCCACTTCTCTGAATCTGCACAGGTCTAATGGGGGCAACAGAGGAGGTCGGCGGCCAGGATCACCTGTAGCCATGCAGTCCTCCTGCTGCACAAAGCCCTGCAAGATGAAGGCTAACCCTGCATACACTTGTGTACGGGCTCCATGAGAACCTGACAGCAGCCTCAGCGAGGCCATAGACGGGCTCATCTCCCACTGTCTAGCCATGTGGACCCCCCATGCGGCCAGCCTTGGCCCCCACACAGCTGTGACAAGGTTGTGGGATAGGTGAAAAGAAGGAGAGAACCAGAGATACAGGAGGAAACAAGTGGCAGTTCCTGTGCTGGCCTCGCCTATCATGTGTCCAGGCACGAATTCAGGCAGCATTGAGCTTCCCCCAGCACCCTAGACACCTAAGCTCAGTGTAGCACATAGATGTCTTTATTTACGCCATCTAATGCCAATCTTAAATGCCCCCAAGTGTCATTACACATTTCTCTGAAAAAGAAAGAAAGAAAGAAAGAAAGAAAGAAAGAAAGAAAGAAAGAAAGAAATCCGAAGAGCAGAAACAAAACCAGAATACGAGAAAAGCAAAGGTTGAAATAAAAAGTAGGGAGCAGGCCCAGCCTGGCCTTTGGTCACTGCTCTCAACACAGCCCCACGAGCCAGCGCTGTTCTAACAGCTCATCAATGCGAGTCACCAAATGCAATTTGCATTCACAGATAAACAGAGGCTGCACAGTAAATACTCTCATCTGACCTTGAAATGTGAGAAAGAAAATTACCCTTTGCAATTTCAGTTCACTCCCAACCTTGATGCATAATCCAATTTAGCTGATTGGTCACCAACCTGTGTGTAATCCCTTGAGTGGAGCTGCCTCCAAAGCTGGGGCCCCAGGCATCAGCAGGACATAAACCCAGGCCTTGGCTGCTGCAACTCAGAAACTGAGGATAGCGTGGACCAAAGGGCAGGTAGCCTCTCAAAAGTCTCCACGGTTGTGTATCCTCCTGTCTGAATTTTAGGAGACAAAGATGTAGACATAACTGAGATAGTCCAAAGCTACAGTTAACACAGAGACACAAGACAGGCATCCAGGGCCACACAGGCCCAACTTCTAGGGTGGCAAGAATGGGTGCCACTTCCTTCCACCCTCAGCCTGCTTGGTTGGGGTAAGGGTGTGGATGCGGATCCCACCTTCTGGCACACAGAACAAAGACCTGGAGTCCCACAACCAGCAGGCAGGCAGAAGCAAGGTGCTGCCCGGCTCTCTCCTGTGCATCAGTGGTCAGTGAACAGCTCCTGCCCAGTTCTATAAAGTTTTATTGTAATACTTCTGACCCATTGCTGATGGACTGTATATGGTGGGTGTCCTGTGACACACTGTGTGGCCTGAAAAGCCAAAAACATTTACAATCTTGCCAATTACAGAGAAAGGCTACCTACCACTGGCCTGTATCAAACATTGCCTTTAGAAATGCTGGCAGGGATAACTAAAACAAAGATGTGCGCTCTCACTACACTGCCAAAGCCAACTCAATGCTACCTACTTCCTCCACACAAGGCTGGCAACCCAGCCACTAGCCCTCCAAACCCACAGATTTCAGCCAAAACCAACAATCCTCCTTTTAACCCACCATCCCTCACCTAGTATGCCTATCACAAGAATCTAAACATAAAAACCCATCTCTGCACGTGAACAGGGCTCAGAGCAGCCGCAGCTCAGACCTGAAGTCTGATACTTGGGGCAGCACTGCCATCACACCATGCAGAGGAGCTCACCAAGTTCCCCTTCCTCATTTCCTCCAGGAAGGCCTGTCTGCAGGAGAGAGGAACTGTCATTTCCTTCCACGGTTGGGGAGATGTTTTCACATCATGCTCCAGCTAAGGCCACACCTCAGGTACAGGGAGGTACTCCCCGGGAAACGAGGCTCCAGGTGTCTCACTGGGACAGGGCCTATGCCTTGGCATGCTGCAGCTTTGGCTCGAACCCCCCACTCTCCCAACTTCCAGCCTTCTAAGGTCCAAATTCCATCTCCCTCTTCCCTGGACACAAACTCCTGAAGGATGGACATAGGAGGGCGGGGAGGAAACAGCCCAGAGAGAAAAAAGAGACAGCTTCTGAGTGCATCCGAGAGAGGCAGGACCTGAATGAGGGCTAAGAACAAAGCAGAGAGAGCAGGGGGCCTGCAACACCAGGCAGGTGTGAGGACAGGCCTGGGTCCCCACCTCTCAACAGACAAGGGGTACACAGATAGCAGGGGCCATGTGAGTTATAATCAAAGTACATCGAGTTCCCCAGAAACACACCTTCAAAGAAATGTAGCTCCAATCACCCATTATCAATTCCACTTGCAACATTCGCAAATTCTAAAATCACCATTGTGTGGATCATTACAGTGAGGGAGGGCTAATTAATACACATGGGAACACAGGAGGAGAAAGAGGATGGGGAGGAGGAGGGGGACAGGGAAGGGGAGGAGAAGGAAGCCACAGCAACCATGGGACAATGTATGTGAGCACAAATGAGCGTGAATGAGTGAGACTACCAAGTGTTTATGTGAGTATGCGTACGACCCTGTGGGTGAGAGAGACACCCACAGGAGGGACAGAGAGGATCTTGAGGAGCTCAGCTTGAGTTTCTGTCAAGGGAGTGACTTCTGACAACACCTGGGAGCCAGCAGAGATGGGCTGATGTCTCCAAGCCTCGCTGCTGGAGTTTGCAGACAGCAGAGGGCACACTGCAGGACCTGACCGGACAGCTCTGAGTAGCGAGGAGCTCGGCACAGCTTAATTGAGATGGTGAGTCAAATCAGACATGTAGTTAAAAGATGAGACAGAATAATCTCAGCAACATCTCTCTCTTTGGAATCACCCAACAGCCCAATTAGCAGCTCTGATGCCGAGGTTCCGGGCACCCCCACAATCGATAACAGCATGCTGGCCAGCAGAGCTGGACCGCCTGCGCCCGCATGGCCTTCGATCGACACCTGTGCTCTGCTATAATCCTCCAGTCGCTGCGGCGGTGCCTGATTAATACAACCCGCACCCCTGTTTATTCTCCTATTGATTTTGCTGTCCTAGACCCAAAGCCTGAAAGTCAATACCCAGCTGGGCGAGGCACTCTGTTGTCTCCCCCCTTGAGGAGGCGTGTCCTCCACTTTTGTCAATCAGGTATGCACAGCATGGAGCCCCTGAGGGGAACAGAGACATCTTTCCGTGTGGGGGTGGGGGACATGGTATGTGACCAGGGCTGACAGGCTCTAAATACTGTCAACAACTAACAAAGAAACATGTCCAAAGCATTCCCCATGACGGAAAACAAAAACGAAAGGAGAAAATGAAGCTCTCAGAATTCTTGCTTCCACTCCCACTGTTTTTAGCACAAGTCAGGAGTAGAGGGAGGCATCTGCTGACCGATGGCTGTGTCAACACGGCCACTCATTTATTAATCTCACTCCTCTCACCCCAGGCTTGGGCTGGGAGGGTTGACACTGGGCTTGAGAAATGCCAGCTCTACACAGCTTATTTCCTCTTGAACTTTAAGAGCTGACTAAAACAGAAGTGACCTTTAAAAGGCAGGGTTAGTGCTTGTTGGCACTGCCGCAGCACTTCCCGAGTACACCGTTTGAGAGGCCAGACAAATGCCCGCAAGCCCCAGCGGTGACCCTTGTGCTGGGGAAGCACCTTGGCAGGGCGTCAGTAGAGAAGGACCGAGATGGTCAGTAGAGATGGTCAGTAGCAGACGACAAGGCCAAGCGTCAGGGGACTCCAAACATGCAATACAGCCAAGTGCATTGTGTGTCCTGGGCCAAGGCTCCAGAGGCGCAGTGCTGTACATGTAAAAGCTTGCATGCCGTGGGTTCAAGCTGGGCCTCTGTCTGCGGACATGGAGAGGACCCCCATCTGCTTCTAAAACTTCTCCTGGATGAGCGCGGAAGCAGCTAGTCAGCTCCCTGGAGCTATGCTCAGCAGGGCTTCAGTCACTCCTGCCAGTCAGTTCTCAAGTGTCCCCTAGAACCTTCTTATGTCTCTGCCCAAGGAACTCTGCAGTGCTTCTGGTGCAAGGAGAGGCTGTGGTCCCACAGTGAAGAAAGCCAGGCCTGGTGGCCTCTGCCAGGTGCCACTTGAGGCTGTAAAAAAGCAGGCCCCAGATATGACCTGCAGTGGGCACCCCTGAGCAGGACAGATGGCACAGCCCACAGCTGAGATAGAACAATCACAGCAACCCCACAGGACTCGGGGAAAGGCAAGGGAGACATGGGTGACTTCTACACAGTACTAATCTTCAGCCAGAGCTGCAGAGACAAAGTCCTACCCATGTCAGCTGCCACTGTTCACTACAGTAGGCCATGTCAAAGACCTCAGCCCCAGGAAGGAGCATGGAGTGGGAGGTCACCTTGAGGGTGGGCAGGGCCAATGTGTCATGGCTCTAGATCTGCATGTGGACTCTCTTCCAGCTAGGATCTGGCTCTCTAGGAAGAAGGGCCCCTTCAAGGACAAGGGCCTCAGGCAGCAGCAATCCTGCCTATAAATCAACACGAAGCATATCATCTGTGCTGCCAAGGATGCCTGTGGCCACAGTGCTGGGCAAGGGTGAAGGCAGTTTAGAAAATTCTAGTCAACAATTCAGGAAGGAAATTCTAGAAGTTTTGGAACAGAGTGCAGAAAAATCAAGGTCGGCTGTGACAGTACATACCTATTTCATTTCCTGAAGGCCCATGGATGAATAGAACGCATGGCTCAGATGGACCACAGCACACGAGAGAACAGTCACAGGCACGTGAAGAGTCCTAGTGACCTCCACGGGCTGAGAGAGGGTAGGGTCTCCCAGCCAGCCGTGCAGGACAAGCACAGAGTTGCCACGCACACCTGCCTCGGAGAAGCGGAGAGCAGAGCTGGGAGGCTGCGTGGAGCCGATACCTGCCAGGCCCATCTGCTCTGTGTAGATTAGAGACAGGAAATGGGGCTTCAGCAGCCAGCGCTGAGAAAACATATTTCCTGAGCTATTGTGTGGACTTCCATTGCTGCTCACCCTCACCACTCAATGGGCAATTCACCACCCATTTAATAACTTTCTTAGAAGGCACCGAATTTTACCTTAGACCTTGGAATATGTGCTCTTCGAACTTCCTGTCACCGGGCCCCAGACAGCTCTAAAGGTTGGATGCCCTCAGAAATGGAGGGGCAAACTCCACACAGAGAGCAGACAATGCTGTTCCCCTATCATCAGGCCCCTGAGAAATGAGTGCCCACTGTCACTGCCCTCACTAAGCACTCAGGACACAGCCCATGAGAGAGCCTGCATCGATTCACCTGCCTCTGCCTCCTACCCAGTTAGTTGCTGCTGTAGCTATCCTCCTACCAAGTACGGGGGCTGCTGGGAAGGAATCCTAAGGGGTGGGGATCACAGAACCCAGCAAGGAGCACTCCTGAGAATGGACATTCTTAGTCATTTTCATATCAGGGAATCCAAGGAAAAGAAGTGGAGAAGACTCCATTAAGTCATCTTTGAGATTAAAAAGGGACTCCCCAGAGGAAGGCACTAAGTCTACAGATCTTGGTCTTGGACTTCTAGGTGCAAGCAGTGGATTTCTGTGGTTTATAAACTACCAACACTATGGTATTTTGTTATAGCAGCAGAAAAGACTAAGATGCAGAGCTTACATCAAAAAAGACAGCCTTGCTGTATCAATGATTTTAGACACAGTAGAAGTATAAAAGAGGAAAATATAAAAAGAAATTTAATGATCTAAGAGAGAGAAAGCCTTTCTACATTCACACAGAACCAAACTCAAAACAGGAGCTCTGAGAGACTACCATGTCAAACTGCATTAAGAATCAAACACTCAATGTCTGAAAGAAAACTTGTAACCAACTAGAGGGAAATGTCCAAGTGGGGAATCATAATTTCAGACAAAGGGATAACTTCCTTAAGCTATTAGACTCCTCCAAAAATTGCATTTGTGTATTTCTTTCTTATTTTTCTGTAGTGCAGGGAATCAAACCCAGGG